GGGAAAGATGCAGCGGGTGTTGGTGCTGCTCTTCTCCCCGCAGGGTGTGCACAGCTGGTTAATAATTCAGAGGAGAAGGAGGGGTGAGCACGTACGGCCGCGCAGAAAGCCACTACGAGGATGCTGCTCGAGCAGAGTCACTCTTGGCTCCCCTCTGGAGATGTGTGGCCCAGCTCATGGATGCTGGCTGGTCTCCAACAGTCAACTACCCTCACTTCAGGATGGAAGAACCAAGAGCAGAGATGAAGCACTGGAATGATGCTAGTTTTAGGCAGAATCAGGATCGAAATCCAGTGGTCCTGAAGCTTATCCCTGGTCTTTTCATTACGTTTGTGGACACTTACAGCTGCCCCTTCCCCAAAAGGCATCCTGGTAGTAGGCACCTTGTGAAATTACATTGTTACTTCCACAGAGGTGTGTGTACCTGTGTCTTAGTTAACTGTTAATTCACAGCCAATTTTAGTACCTGGAGGAGTCTCAGTACCCTGCTCTGTCTCTTGATCTCATTTATTTTGATCTTAATGTTTCACTATGAAAACAGTAATAGTCTAACAACAGTATTAAAAATTTGCAGCCTGGTTTTCAGGTCACTACAAGAAAAGCAAAGCAGGCCAAGTTGGAAGAAAGACCACCAAGAGTTTTTCAAGTGGCAAGGTAACATTTCAGAGGGGACAGCTTCTCTTTAAGAGGTGCTCCCGAGAGACTCGCCGCTTTCTGCTGAGCATCTAGAACTGATTTTTGTTTACCTTTTGCTGATCCAAAGCCAGCAATTACAAGAAACAACAAACCAGCAGGGATCTTGCTAGAACTTTATACGTGCCCACACCAGATGTCCTCTTGGAGTAGAAAATGTGTGAGGAAAATTTTGGGCCAGAATTGTTAGAGAGATGTATGAACGCTAGACAAAAACCAAATCAACAGGGAATCACTAGAAAAAGAAGTCCTGAAAGTCTGTCCACGGCAGCCTGAGTCATACTCTGGTTGTAAGGACCACAGACCTGGCACGTCAGAGAGTTTTCCTCAATTTTCCAGAGTGCAGTAATCATCAGGAGGAGATGGCAGCGGCTGTATGCAGTGAGCGACAGCTCAGGGCACAGCAGAGTTTGTTCCATCACATTTAACTGGACCAAACACTGGTTTTATGGGATTATGTTGCATTTACTAAGGACTCACAAAGGGCAACCTCCATGGAACTCTATCAGCTTCAACAGAGCGAAGAACTAAGCCAGTCTGGCCTCAGCCCACTCAGCTGCTTGGCAGCACAGGACAATCCTCCCCAGCAGGAGAATCTGTGTCTCAGGCTACTAAAGAAGTGGAGGGAAAGTATAATCTGTATACAGGAAAGAATAATAATTAGAAATAAGCATCTTTCCTGGTACAGCTGGGTGCCTGTACCAACTCGCCTCCTTTCTGCCCAAGTGACCATGAAAAATGACAGCAGCTGAAGTCAACCACAACTGGAAAACGCTTCCCAAACCCACTCTGTTTCCTTTTCTTCAGGCTCTGCAGGAATCAGGTTTGCAGGCACTGTGTGTAGCCAGCTGTGGAAAGAACAGTAAGTCTCCAGAGCCCCATCAAAACTCAGATCCCTTGAGAGGCAGAGCAGGAAGGACAAACAAGCCAGCAGAGCTGGTGTTAGGAGACTTTGTCTAAGCTGAATGGTGTCCACCACAAGCTCTGCTCCTCAGAAGCTCCCTAAGGTCTTCCCTCCTGCAGCTTCCTGTTTTTAAGTGAATTCACGTGGATTTCTATCAGGGTTTGATCCAGGAGTAGTCACGTGCATAGGCAAAAAAGGGGTTTACTGTCAATCCCTTCAGCAGCTGCATCTAGTAAAGAAGAATGTGTATTGTTTCTCTTCTGTTCATGAGACTATCTGCATTGATGTTGAGGGAACCCTGTTTAACTGTTCCCACATACATCAGCACTAGTGTGGCCAGCAGGACCAGGGCAGGGATCATCCCACTGGACTGGGCTCTGTAGAGGCCACTCCTTGAATCCTGGGGTCAGTTTAGAGCCCCTCAATCCAAGAAGCACTTTGAGGGGCTGGAGCATGGCCAGAGAAGGGCAGTGAAGCTGGGGAAGGGTCTAGAGCCCAAGTGTGGGGAGGAGCAGCTGAGGGAGCTGGGGGTGCTGAGCCTGGAGCAAAGGAGGCTCAGGGGAGACCTTCTGGCTCTGCACAGCTCCTGACAGGAGCCTGGAGCCAGGGGGGGGTCGGGCTCTGCTCCCAAGGGACAAGGGACAGGACAAGAGGAAACAGCCTCAAGTTGCCCCAGGGGAGGTTGAGGTTGGCCCTGAGGAACCATTTCTTGCCCTGTAG